GGAGGCCTGCTTCTCCCTCTCCCACTCCCCCTGCTTGTGTTCCCTCTCTCGCTGTGTCTCTCTCTGTCAAATAAATAAATAAAATCTTTAAAAAGAAAGAAAAAGAAAAAGAAAGAAAGAAAGAAAGAAAGAAAGAAAGAAAAAGAAAAGAACAATTTTCATTAACCCAACAAACATTTCCTCATCTGCTGTAACCAAAATACTATGGGAAACACTCTGTGAGGCTTGAAAGGAACATTGGCAAAGGAGAGACCGTGGTCCCTGCCCTCCATGCATGCGTGCTCCAGCTTGGGGAGATGAAACGTGCATGGGAGACCTCCCTGGTAGGGGGAACACTAGTTCGACCCTAGGGTACCAACACTATAGGGTTTTGCACTTCATTCATGATTAGAATGACATGAAATGGCTCTCTCGAGATACTTACCCTGTTGTATAAGGGATGTTTATGCCTCCTAGATTAATACTTTCACATCCAACAATAAATAGGGTTGAAAAACACAGTAAAGACACACCACTGCAGATCATGGCTAGTTTGGCAGATTCTCTTGCACCAAGTTTCAATTTCTTTATAATGTAGCCTCCCAGGACAATGCCAACACCAGCACTGGGGACAATAATAACACCTAGAGAGAAGAAGGGAAGGACAGGATTAAGTGAAGTTACACATACTATAATTTGTTTTCTAATTATTCTGTTTCTACTTACTAGTATTAAAGTAAAAAATAAAAAGTACTGTAATCAATAAATCTTCAATGTGTAGGATTTTATAGTATAATTTCTTTTCAAAGGACTCATATCCAAAATGTAAAATAACTTTTACAAAGCAATAAAATAAAGACAAGCAACCCACTAAAAAAGTGAACAAAACTTGAATGGGCTCCTCACTAAAGAAATCCAGCTGGCTAATAAACACATGAAGGTGTTCACCCTCATTGCTAAGAGAGAAATACAGATTAAAACCGTAGTAAAATACTACTCTACACCATTTGTGTTGATAAAAATTTAGAAGTCCGATACTACCACATGTTGGCAAAGCTATAGAGCAATGCGCACTCTACACAGCTGGTGGGATGTAAAACGTGAAACCTTCTTTGAGAAACAGTTTGCCATCATATGCATCCTGTAGATGTTGAAGATATACGCATCCTATAACAGGTAATTTTATTCCTGGATCTACACCCTGAAGAAACTCAAGCACGCGGGGACCAAAAGAAGCGTACAAGACATTTGAAGCATCATAATAGCCAAAAACTGGAAATAAACCAAATGTCCATTACTAGATGCATTGCATGTTTTAAGTTCATGTAACAAAATGTCACTATACAGCAATAAATATGAAGGAATATAATAACACACAACCATGAGGATGGATCATACAAATACAATATTCAATGAGAGAAGCAAAACAGAACAGAACACACGACATAACAGCATTTGTAAAAAGTTCAAGTGCAGTTAAAACTAAACGATTTGTTTAGGAATGCATATCCAGGCAGTGCAACTATGAAGGAAACCCAGGAAGTAAGTGTCATAAACCCAAGATAGTAGGGGAATAGGTGGGCTCCTGGACTACTGAAAATACTCCATGCCATGACCTGGGTAATAGTTATACAAGTGTTCACCTTATGATTATTCATTAGCTCTAAATTTTGATTAATGTATTTCTGTGCGCATTATATTTCACAGCCTTTAAAAAAAAAAACTAAAAAACAGTAGTATTGCCTGCCCCAAGAACCTTATAATCTAAAATAGAAATATACAAATCAGAGTACAATAAAACAATTATACAAAAGACAAGGAGAATACAGGGGAAAAAACAAAAGCATCTGAGCCTTCCCTGGGAGAAATCAAGGAGGACTTCACAGAAGTAGCAGTATTTGTACTGAACAAAGTATGAAGAGAAAAATAAGGTTAAGACTGAAATGAGACAACTATGTCACTAGAGATCTTGGCAAGAGCAACGTTAAGGATGTTGTGAAGGAAGAAGCCAGACTGCAGTGGGTTGAGATGAGGACTTAGAAATTAGAATTCAGATTCTTTCTAGAATTTAAGCTATAAAAGGAAAAACAGGTATGGGTCTAGAGTAAGAGTGGAGTCAAGGTAGAGTTGGAGCTTGGGGAGTTCGTTTGCTAAGACAGGAGGGGACTATGCATATTTATATACGGACAAAAAGATTAAAAGGAATGGGAGGTTGAATGTGGAGGGAAAGGTTATCTAATGATGCCAATGCAAGATCCTTGAGAAGTCAAGAGAATATGGAATTAACAGCACAGATAATCAGATTAGCACTGGATGGGGAGAGAGAGAGAGACCCCTTCATTCAGGGTGGGAACAGGATAGGGAAGAATAGGATGGGGGATAAATCAACAGGTGGGTGGTAGCTCTTCAAATTGTAGCTTTTCTGTTTCATTATTTTTCCATTATTTTGCAAACATCATGTAATACATGTTGCAACAGAACACTGGAAAAGCACAGAGAAGTATGAACGAACAAAAATCCACTGCTTACATTCTGGCATATTTCACTCCAGTCTTTTTTCCATGCTTTTTTACTTCAAGAATTGATAACATGCTATAGATTCATTTTTTTTATATGGCTTTGGTTTTTATTTCTGGGTGGGTTTTTTTTTTTTTTCTGTATAACTGAAAACAAAACTAAGTCTTAGAGGAAAGGGATATGGAGAACTTTAAATATAGCCAAGGATTAGAATAATCATTGTAGGAAAGAAAGTGAGCGCTACATGAGAATAGGTAATAGGCTTTGCAAATGGAAGGTCCAGTGGGTCCAGATGATATTAGATTTCAGAAGTCTGCAGCTGCACCAGTGCACACGGTTGAATGGTTTGCTCCAGCGTGTTCAGCAACCCACGTAAAGGAGCAGAGGATTAGATTAATCTAAAATCTGAGCTTTGCCTGGCAACCAGTGTTCATTTTGTAATCCTCACCAGAGTCCTGATTTTATAAAATCAGTAATGGCCTTTTTACAGATGAGGAAATTGACAGCTCAGAGAAGTGACCAGCCCAGTAGTGCACACAAAGAAGAGAGTCTAAGAGAAACTGAGATCTCTGATTCCCAGCCCAGCGCTCTGTCCACATCACCACAGATGTCTCTTAGAACTGACAGATCCCTGGAATCTTTTAGGTAAATTGACCAGAGCTCTAGGCTCAAATGAGCTGGTTAATAAAGTATCATCATTAAGGAAAAGTACACGTTATCTATCTATACAAATCAATAGGCAAAGCTTTACCTTTAAAGTGAAAGTGATACATCCATGAAATTCTTATTTCAGTTGAACAATTTACATGGTTCTAGACCTGGGGGTAACAAACAAAACAAATCTCCATGCTCATAGCTCAAGTCCTAATTTAAAAGCAATAAACCTTACTTGACTATGCATCCTACTTGGTATTCAACTCTTAAAAACAGGAAATTTGTCATCAGTAAATATGAGGTTATATCAAACAGAGGGAAGACCCCTTAAAATTTTCTCCTGATGTCCCCTGCCATCTAAATCTCACTGCACTATCCAAACAGAAATTCTGACCATTCATGATGCTAATCTGTGCATCGCTCAGATCTCCAGCTTAAGTAAGAGACCCAAATGTTCCATTGTTAGAATATTAGGCATACGGGATGGTGTTGGGGAGGGGAATGGGGGACAACAGTAAAACCTTCTCACTGTCCCTTCTGAAAGCCCCCGGCTCTGGGGAAACCAGACTGTATAGAGCATGCAGGGGCTGGAAGTTGGTTTCCCGCCCACCACCACACTGTCCTCTAGTCCTTCCCAACTTCCCCACTCCCTAGTGGGGAGAGGGAAATACAGGCATCCCCTGCTTTTCCAAGTTCACATCACACCACTTCGCATTTATGGAAAACCTAAGTACTTGTGTTCGCTAATTAAAAGAAACCCAAAGAAGATTTTCACTTTTATGGGGTGAAAAAAAACCCACAAAGGTGACCAGTGAAAATAGCATTCAGCATTTGTTTTGCAGCGAGGGGTTACAGAGGCAGTGAGAGTGGCCCCGCCAAGCTCCTTCCCTGCCAACTACGCCCAGCATCTCAGCATCAGGCCCCACAGCTCTGAACTGTACTTTATCTTGATTTAGTCTGCGCATCGTTAGGAAGATGTTCCAAAGGTATCAGAAAAGCCTAAGAGAGGTTGTTTCTTGAGCCTGGGAATGCTCAAAAAATTTTTCCATATAAATTTATTTGTAATTGCTTCTCCACTTTATGCCATTTCAGCTTATGAAAGATTTCACTGGAACACTCAACTTTCAGATAGCAAGGGAAACCTGTAAATATATAAGATGGGCTCTCCCAGCAGAAGCTGCCCACCTGCCACTCGCCATGTCTGAGTTCAAATTCACCTCACTGGCCCGTGATCACCCCTTCCCTCAGTCCCCAGAGAGCACCCCGCCTACTGCCTCCATTCCTCTGAGTTTCTGCTCCCTATCAAGCCCCTTTCGCAGCCCTGGCAGGATGGCTCTGCATTCCCTGAGTTTCTGTTCCTCACACCCTCTAGTGGCCAAGACATGGATGGGACCCGTCGGGTACAAAAGGATGGGTGGGGAAGAAGCATCAAGGGCTTGTTATGAGGTGACAGGGAAAGGGCTGAACGTGGAAAGATGGAAATACCTGGACCAAGCCCAGGGACCCAGCCTAAGGTACAAGTGGTAGAGGATAGAAGCCAAAGCAATTGCCAAAGCAACAGAAGCCAAAGCAATGTCTAAGAGACAAATGCAGGTGACAGTGCAGGCCACATGGACAAATTTCCTGAGTTCAAATCTCAGCTCTGTCACCTATAAACTGTGTGTCCTTGAACAAATTTCTAAATATTCCCAGGCCTCGGATTTTCTCATCTGTAAAAAGTGGATACAGGGGCGACTGGTGGCTCAGTTGGTTAAGCGTCTGCCTTTGTTTGGTTCAGGTCATGATCCCAGGGTCCTGGGATTGAGCCCTACTTGGGCTCCCTACTCGGCAGAGAGCCTGCTTCTCCCTCTCCTTCTGCCCCCTACTTGGGCTTGCTCAGTCTCTATAGTGCTCTCTCTCTCAAATAAATAAATAAAATCTTAAAGAAAAAATAGTATCTTCCTCATAGGTTGTTAGGTTTAAATGAATTAAGACATATAAAGTACTTAAAACAGGGGTACCTGCCTGGTTCAGTCAGAGGAACTACGACTCTTGATTTTGGGGGTCGTGAGTTCAGTCCCCATGTTGGGTGTAGGGATTACTTAAATAAATAAATAAAAACTTTAAAAAAATAAAGTGCTTAAAACAGTGTCTGACCCCTTAGTATATACTTAATAAATGTTGGTGATCATCATCGTCAGAAGTATGAACATCATTACTATCTGCCTAATACGAATGAGTTTAACATTTGCACAAATAAATATATTGGAATTAGGCAAAATTTCTATATGCTATTTTATCTATAGGATTGAATTTAAACTACTCCTAATGGCCCAACTAAACCTCTATGTGTTTTTTTATATAAACCTTTGTTTGATATTTAGCTACTATGTGTTCTTAAACACATAAACCTCTGTTAGCTATTTAGTTACTGTGTGTATATATCTGAATCTAAAGAACTCATGGCTGTATTGGTTAGCTGTTGACAAGGCAG